TAAAAATAATTTGGGATTTTTTTTATAAACCATTAGATTTTTTATAAAATATTCAAATTAAATCCCAATATACCAATATATTCCTAAAACATGTTTTTTTACACAAAATATTCTTTAACCTCAAAATATTCTTTTTTATGCTCTAAAAACTTTTGTATATCAGTTCATAGGTAAATGAATCGTCCAGAAAACTTATCCAAATGGAGCTGCATACTATCAGTAAAAATATGTAAAAACATAAAAATCCGGTCTATAATAATAATGAACAAACTCTTTTAAAAGAGTTAACAGAAAAATTTAAGGAATTTAATGATATTCAAACTGAATATGAAAAAATTAAATGTCAATTTAACGTTTAATAATAAAAACTGAAAAAAAAAGATATTTAAAGAATTGAAAAGAATTAGATTTAGATTTAGAATTAGAATTAGATTTAACTTAAATATTTAGTTTCAATTACCAAAAATACTGTAACTGATCACAATATATGCTAGATATATAATTTTGATTAGTATTAGATCTCATTCAGTATTTTGCTTAGTTTTAAATTACACGTGATATTTTTGCTTATTGTTGATAAATATTATACAGCCGTATTACTATTATTTTATTGTCAGGATTTTTGATTCAAATAAATAAAAAATGATTAATTATTATTATATATAATTGAACATTAATTGTATTCAAATTTTGTTTGTGGAATTTTGATGTGGTGACAATGGTGCTTGTAGTTATGGTGCAATTTATAGGTAGTGAATGTGGTGTAAAAAGATGATGGTAATAATAAAAAGGTAAACAGTTGTAAACAATAAAAATGATAATTTAAAATAACAGAATGGTAAAAAATATTAAAAAATAAACAAAACGCAACAACGACGTATGTTTGCAAAATTCCGACAAAAGATAACAAAAACCGGCTGTCGGTTTATGCTTTAGTTTATACTATCGCAACCAAAAATATTCATGATATCAGTATTAAAAAAAAAACTGAGATTAATTAATTACATTAATGCTGCAAAATTAATCGATTTATATATTACAATTAAACATAAATTATTATTTGACTTCAATATCCATTGGGCTATCTTCTTTCTCAGATCTCGGTTGATATAATAATAATAATAATAATAATAATAATATACTAACAATTATTATAATTTATCGAATTTAAACTTAAATGTATAACGAATTTTCTACAGAAAAATTTTAAAATTTGACCAATAATCATATAAGTTACAACCACCAAAGAGGATACTAAAAGTGTAAAAATCAAACCCATTGCACTCGTCATTACGTTTAAATTGTTAAGTTCTATCAATAGTTTATTTAATACTTTGTATACTATTTAGGTTAATATACAACAGACTATCTTATGTCGACGGATATTCGATAAGAGTTCAAATGAAGGGGTTAAATTGAGAACCGTTTTTGTAATGTAAAGAATGCTTTCTCTTTGAAATGGACCCACTAAAGCGACAATAACTATTCAATTGTTATTTTTATCGTCATGAAATTCTTGTCGTATCGCTGAACACATTAATCGACACTTTTTATCTTATTACGAATATTTCGTGTTAAATTGGTCTCATGTTCTAGCTAACAAACATGCATTGAATTGAAAACATTTAGACTTTTACGTTTCGTACGTTAGATACGTGTTGAAAATATAATTATTTTGCCAACTGTCTATATTTTTTTCAGCGATATAAAAGCCTGTAACCGTTTCATATCTCTGTGATTATTATATTTTAGGTTACGGTGAAAATAATATTTCGATCTGGTCGATATACCGTAAATTGTGTTTTATTTTTATAACTTCTCGTCACTTTTTTTGTAACTATTTAGATAACTGTAAAAAATTAAAAAAAATGATCCTCTTAATAATACATAGATTTTTAACTTCTCATCGGAAATATTTTAAGGTTTTGGTTATCGGAGCAATATTTCTAGTTTAAATCACGTTACAAAATAATTTATAAATATTGGTGATGAAGGTTCGAATATTACATAAAATATTGAAATTTTGTTTTTTTTCTTAAATATTCTGAAAATTGTTGAGAAGTTAAAAAAATAACTCCCCAAAAATATTAACTATAACAAATTTCTTATATTTTACTTTTTATTTCTGGATGATCAAAACATTTAATTTGGTCAAAATCATGTATACAAACACTAAAAAAGCCATACATGGTTAAACTAATAAATTTCTCGTATCACTCAAAATCTAAAACTGAATGCAAAAATCTTGAAACGCATTAAAAAATAATAATCTTGTTTTTAAGAGGAAAAAAAAACATCAACAAAAGTTTTTTTTCTGTCTTACAGTCACACATTATTCAAGGTACTTAAAGCTAATAAAACAAAATAATCACAGTATTTAGTAACTTATGTCTGTACTAAATTGATTCATAATTCATGGCTAAAAATATTTTTAAAAAAAATCTTCTTTGCATGATTGAAACTTTTTAAAATGAACGATTAATTCGTATAACGCATTGATGACACGATTGAACTCACTGCCTCTTATGTGAAAGAACTTAATTTTTAAGATCATAGTTATATTTCACATACACCGCAAGCCTAAAAACGTGTCACCGAATTAATTTGTGTATAAAAACTTAAAGTTATAATATTTATAATTTGTAAATTATATAAATGTTCTTGCCATTGATTATATTATATATATTATAATATAATGTATATATATATATAATATTATTTATAATATAATTATAAATGGAATGTAGTGTTTCGCATGACGTGTAATAATAATATATATTTTATGTATGAATATTGGTTTGAAAATCAAAATAAGATAATTTTCAATGAATATTTATGGTCTTATTATAATTATTATGATATATGATATAATTAATACGTAATTTTCTTAGATAGTATTTTAATATTTTGTCGTAATCTTCAACTTTAGATATTATTAAGTTTTATTTTGAGCAATAAATATTGAATTCTCTGTTAATGCAATCAATAGTATTTTTTAATTTAGTACTCTCAAGTTCCCATTCGTGTTGCAAAATCAAAAATTGATTAAATTTTTCTATTTTTTCTTGTATAATAGTTGTTTTTCCATTCAACATTTTCTTGTAAGAATCCTCAATTTTTTTCTAATACGGTCATATATAATAATAATTGTGAATTTTTTTTGTCTTGGTTAAAATTTGTCTTAATCAGTATCTACGTCATATAGTACTAATTAAATTTTATAATTGTATTAATCATTATTTTGATAATAATAGTGAAAAAAGAAGAGTAGAAGGTATCAGTGGCAGCAAAAACTCTTGAAGAGTTATGATGCCAGTGAGAGAGAGAAAAAAAATAATAATCATTATTTTCGTGGTTTAAAATATGTTTAATTCAAATTTACTTTCTTTCGACGCAATTTTCATATTGTATATAAAAAAATGTCATTAAATTAATTTTGGGTTAAACTGTCATGTACTTACACTTAATAATGAACTCTTTTAACTAACGTATATAAATCCTAATCAGATAGAATTTTAAAATATATTATCGTAACAATAAATTAAGCATAAGTGTAAATTGATAATTTACTTCAATTTTATTTTATCACAGGAATACGAGATTGTTGATTTATAGTTGCAAAAGTTTTTTTAATATTTTGATAAATAATTGTTTTTCAAAATATTAAGCTAATCAAAATTGCTTGATTTTAATAGTGTTATTTCATTAAAGAACTATATATGGTTTGTCAGTAGGTATCTATATTCTAAAAATAATCTTGTATTTTATTTTTAGTAAGAATTAAGTGCAAATTATATTTTTTGTTGTTTTTAACTTTTGAGTATATAATATAAGATCCAAAAATATATATTATTTGTACTATCCTTATAGATTTTTCACGTCCATTATTTTTACGTATGGAGTGGTTTATTAAATTCTCGTGTAAAAGTAAATTATTTTTTTGTATAGGTATGTACTAGTACAGTAGAAGAAATATTAAAATAAAAAAAATAAGTACATTTTTTCAAATAAATCCTAAAGATAGTTAACTTTAAATTTAATATTTTGTTTTGAAAGAATTGAACTTTTGTCAGAACAATTATTTCCATATTTTCTTTTGTATATAAAACAGTTAGAAAAATAAAAAACTAAAGAGTTAATAATAAAGCACTTTCATGATGTTATCACCAAATCGTGGCATCCGAGTTGGGTTCCGAGTACTAGGGGCTAATCACAGGTAGTGTAGTAGTTGAGTCCCGGATTTTTATAGATACTACACTAGTTTGGTTTTGGATTTTTATAGGCACTACACTAGCTGAGTTCTGAATTATTTTAGGTATAACACTAGTTTCTGAATATTTTTTGGTAAGTACAACATTATACTAATTTTTTCCTTCCCATTTTAATAGACATAAGTCTGTCTAAGATCTATTTAGACCACAGGTATGGTTAAAAATGTATTTTAGAGTTTTTTTTTGTTTTTTAGTTTCTTTTCCATTGAAATATAAATTATTAGAATTGTGTTGGTAAAAATATTAAAAATGTTAAAAATTAAGTATAAAAATATATATTATATAATATAATTATAGATAAATAAGTAAATAAAAAAATATTAAACATATTAAAATCGTTATATAATATAAATAAAAATTAATGGAAAAGAAACAAAAAAACAAAAAAAAACTATAAAAAAACATTTTTAACCATACCTGTGGTCTAAATAGATCATAAACAGTTCTAAGGCTGTTAAAATGGGAAGGAAAATGTTAGTATAATATAGTACTTACCGAAAAATATTCAGGAACTAGTGTACTTAAAATAATTCAGGAGCCAACTAGTATAGTAACCTATAAAAATCCGGGACCCAACTAGTGTAGTACCTAAAATAATTCGGGACCCAATTCGGATGCAGCCTACCGAATATGTTTATATATTTATAAAATGTTTTGAAATTAATAACATTTGTTAAAAAATGGATATAGATAACTAAAATTACATATATTTTATTTATTTATTTATAGGTATTGAACAGCATTCCGAAATTATCGATTCCACATTAGTAAATCAAGTAAGTACTAAAGTTAAATTAAAAATGTATAAAATTTATATAAAAAATAATGATGGTAACGTATTGTTATAATTTTTTAGCGATTTCCTCATGTCTATAGAGACTATTCTCAGACTAAAACTGTCTGATTTTAATTTTATGGCGTTAAAGTTCCTACTTATACGAAACTTCTGTGCATTTACAACAAATAAAATAAAATATAAAATACATAGGTAGTCTTTCTAGTTGAAACGCTAACCTACATTTTCCTTTAAGCATTATAAAGGTTGCATTAGCTTTTTAAAGTTTTTATACAGTACTTGTAACTTTGGTATCTCGATAAACTTCAAATGTAAGTGTTAAGTCATGTAACTAACTTCACGGTTATAATTAAAATACAGTGTTTGTCTATTATTATATTTAAAGTATTTATTTTATATACTTACGAGCATATATAAATATATGATATTTTTGTTTACGATAATTTGATTGGTAATTTGTGATTTTATATAGGTATTGAATAATTTATTGATAATATACTCTATACTTCTTTTTAAAAGAGAACATACCGCTTGCGCGACTGGTTTTGGTTCGGTGGCGCGCATCCTTCACCAGTTGATACAAAATAATAGTAATATCATTGATTATAGAATAGATAGATAGTCCATGGTATAGAGATATTAGGCTACTAAAATTATGTTTGTTCTAGCTTCCGGTTCTAGCTGCTGGCGTTGTATAATAGAAAAAATAATTATTTTACAATCTGTATAGATAAATACAGAACGAGCGTCGAGCGCTGCCGCACTGGGCGGGGCGGGCCACGGGTGCTCATAACTCAGTATTGCATTGCGCCATTGTGGTCAGAGTTATTTATACATTTTATTGATATTTCATTCCTAGCACTCGTACCTAATTATTTACTATTTTAAATGATATGATTAAATTGATAATCAAATATGATTAAATCCGTTTACGGCGGAATTTTACAGATTTTACCGAAATTACTCAGTTTTTCAACAGTTTCTCACAATTTGTTTTAGTAGATGTGCATAAAGAAAAAATACAATTACTTCTTATCGAAGTCCTAATCGTTCTGGCTGTTGGATTCTTTTTATAACCACCCTTTTGTCGAAAAATACTAAAAAGATTTTCTAATACATCCTGATTCAAACGGTTGGTCATTAAAAATACTATATCATTAGATTTTTCTTCTTCGAAAAATTGCAATACACCATTAATGGTCTGCTTAAAACTTTTAAAACAGGATGGTTGTGTTAATTTTCCTTTTTTTAATTTATGTAAATCTGTGAAGTATTGCGAAGCTTCTAATAAAAAATGTTTTACAGTACCTGAATCAGTTAATGCACAGAGATATGGATTATGGCTATATAAAGACCGGCTATTTAAACAATCAAATAAATTATTAATGAACTCAATAAAATCTGCTGTGTTTGAAGCAGTGCTATTTAGAAGTTGTCCTGTTTGTATGCAAGTTCGGATTGTTGCTGACATTGAATTGCTTAGTAATTGTGTGGCTAATTTAACACGCATTTTTTGAAAAGAATTTGGATAAATATGAGCATCTGTTATTTTAATGAGAGACCTACTTTTATGATTTTTTATGTCTAACTCATAAGTTTTTTTTATGTCATCAAATGAGATTATATTATCACCTTTAATAAAACAGACTTCAATTAAATTATTTCTTACACTTTTAATTAAATGTGGAACGTCAAATATAGAAAATATTTTATTATTATCAACATAAAAATATAGGCTATCTTCTGAAATATTTAATGATTTTAAAGTACTTTGATTATTTGTGCCTTGATCGCAAACAACAACTTTTGGACACAATTCTACTTCAAATAAATTTTTAAGGACGTCAATTATTAAATTTTTTAAATTGATTTTGTCAACACCAGAATGAGAAAGAAAATAGGCAACTGGAAATTTCCACGGTGAATAAATACCTCGAGCCATAAACACCAGAACACAGTTAGCACTTTTATTTGTCCTGCCACATTGACCTTATCTTCAAAACCTTCAATGAAATCAAATTCTTTGGAATATTCTATAAATTCTTTTATATACATCTCATCGAAACAAACAGTGCATACTTTTTCTTTATAATCAGTTGATTCAATTTTTTTTTTAAGATGACTGAAAAATATTTGATTAAACAAATCACATTTTCTTTTTAAATTTGAGTCTGGCATTTGTATTATATCTGTAATTTTAGTTTTATTAGGAGTAGATAACGATGAAGAGGGGCTAGAAAAAACTAACTCTACCATGTCTGATTTTGTGTGTGTATAAGTATTTACTGGAGTTGAAATTGTAAGACATTCTTGTTCAGATGCATCATTTTGGTTAAAACCTAATAATGTAGATGGTTGTTGTTTTTGCTCAGATTTATATTTATATGGAATAGCAGTGCTTACTAAACGGATTTTATTAAATATATTTGTAAAGCTCTCGAGGGGGGGGGGGAATGCTCTTGACAAATGTTGAAGTTTTTCCTGTTCAATTGAGAACAAACTTGAGTTTCCTGTAGACGTAGAGATAAACCAAATATAACAATTGTTTGAAAATAATCATACATAGGTATTATGGAAATTTATTGGTGTAATGACCATACTAATTATACAATGTTTTGATAATTAAGCAAGAAAAAAAAAAGTATCCAACTATTATTACTCCAGTGTAATAAATAATACTTTTTTTGTTTTGTATTAAAGCATTATTAAAATACTTTTATAAAAATATTTAAAACACATTTTAAATAGGTATTATTTGTTTTTTATAATTAATTAATTAGTACTTAACATGAACTTAGTGATATAAATTTTTATATAGATTTATCTATATTGTTCATTATAGGTACCTACACCAAAACTCCAAAACAAAAAATCAGTTTATATGTGTTTGATAAATAATATACAAATAACAAAATAACTTGCTAATAATGTTGTAATTATGTTCACAGAGTAAATCGTAAAATATTGACGAAATAATGATAATAAAATAATAATCACTAATTTTATCGATTATAATGGGAATAAATATAATGGTACTTCAATTTTTCATTTTACATGAAAAATAATTCTATAAATAGAAAGACGGTATTTTTCGCCGACCCCACGTGATTGCCTTCCCGTCTTCATGACTATCTATGATAGAGGTACCACCACCTTGCATCTAGCTCCCACCGCGTTCGTCGTTCATCTACCTATGATAGAGGTACCACCACCTTGCATCCTAGCTCCCACCGCGTTCGTCGTTCATTTACCTATGAGAGAGGTACCACCTCCTTGCATCACAGCGACGCCAGCGGTCCATAGCGGTTGCATCTTACGAGTAGTCGCCAAATATTAACATTGCGTTGACTATCTATCTATTCTATAAACAATGGTACTATTATTTATTTTGTAGATAATCAAATAATATTCACATTGGGTATTTTCAACATAATAACGAGTAGGAACTAAATAAATTACTCAAGACTGCACTATTATAGTTGATGGTATAGATAAACTATAAAGATAATGTCGTCTTGTCTATTTACTTGAATATTATATACCTACCATTATTAGTTACCTACCATTTTATTACCATATTATTTTAATTCTTTTGTCAATGATTTTAAACTTCAATTAAAATTAAATGAAACAAAAATGTGTAACTACTTACTTTTATTTTTCCATGCAACTTTTACAAACTGATTCGTTGGATTTCTTATCGTAAACAAAATATTTATAAACGCATGACACGGCATGACGGCCCATAATTTTAATTTGACATTTTTAAACTAATAAAGGTAGACTGCTTGTTCATGCGTCATAACTGAATAGAAAATATAGCAAATTTACCACTGAGCACCGATATTCGATAATAATTAATAACGATAATATGATATGCGTTTGTACTGTGTTTGACGTGTAGATATGTTATACAAATAAACACTTCAAAAACCCAGTGTCATTTTTGTAATTGTAAAAATAACTTATGTGTCCGCAGAAATGATCCGTTATCGACATTATCATTTAACATACACATAATATATATTAATATTCCTTAGACAATAATATTATATTCATTGGTTGACGGCCGAATATAATATTTCATAAATACTGTATAATATAAATTATTATATGTAATTATTGTTTCTAAATAATAAATCTTTAGTTTAAAGAGTAATTTCTTTCGATTTCAATAGGAACTTGAAAACAGTAAAGAACCGTTAAAAAAACCAGTATTCTTTTGATATTGTTTATAGGTTCCCAAACCGTGCGCCGCGGCGATCTGGTGCGCCGCGGTGTGTTGTCAGGGGAGCCGTGGCTGTGCCTCGACTATGTTATCTGGTCTAAAAATAAACAACGATATTTTACGATGACGAACACCGTCATTTTTATTACCATTATCTTGATTCCTACATAAGTTATTATTATTATACTAACCAATTATTGTATTTGATATAGATAAACGACTGTTCGTGTCTGGTGAAATTCGTTTTTGCGTTAGTACCTATTTATTACCTATACACGTATACGTATCAGTCTCGGTGTGTTATAATATTTTGTTAAAGTTTCTTAAGAATATATATATAGTAAGTTCTGTGATTTTCTTTAAGTTGTAACTTTGTTCTGTGTTTATTTATTATGGATCGATTTTTATTAAACAATCGTAAACGTACGAGTACATGTGAAGACGAAGAAATTTTAGCATCAACCAGTCGCGGTGAAACAGTAAAAAAGCGAAAATGTCGTCAGTATGATGATAGTTATTTGGATTTTGGTTTTACGTCAACAGAAATTAACGGTGAAGAGAGACCACTATGTGTAGTATGTATGAAAGTTTTGGCATCAGAATGCATGTTGCCGAGTAAATTGAAGCGCCATTTAGAAGCAAACCACAAGTATATGATTGACAAACCTCGAGATTATTTTATTAGAAATTTAAAAGAACTAAAACAGGAAAAAAGTACGTTTTTCAAGAATGCATCAATACCAACCAATGCT